TGTCAGATCAACGCTTGCCTTGCCCATATTTGGGACCAGTTTGGAAGATTGCCTAGATTAGGATGTATCATCTTTTGGATATAACTATACAGTTAAACACTAAACTTCTATTATATTTACAAACAATTCTCCCAGTTATGGATACCAAATAACTGGTAACATGAAATGCAGTGTGTGTGTGTGCGTGTGTGCGTGCGTGTGCGCGTGTGCATGTGCGTGCACGTGTGTTTAAATAAACTCTGCAAATAGCTCTCTGCTAAAACCCTGCAGTAGCAGGTAGATAGTTACACATTTCCAAATACCAGAACAATGTATTTAAAGGGTAGGCTTTTTTTTTTTTTTTTTTTTTGGTAAATATTGACATTAGAAGCTGGTTATAACATTACCAAGGCTTGCTTGGAACTGCTTCTCAAAGTGCAGTGACATATGGAAGTGATCTGCAGAGAGGGGAAAAAAGAATTAAAATTACAGAAAAAGAATTAATTTCCTTGCTGTTGCAGAAGCAATGTCCTTGTAAAAGTCATCTAACTGAGGCCAGGGTTTAAGGCCTAGGTGAGGTGTCATCATGGATGGCAGACAAATTGCAATCTCCAATTTCCAAGCCCACAAGAAACAGCCGTTGCATTGTAGCAGGACAGTTGTGTGACTGTCTCATCACCTGATTCATGTTCTTTCTTCCTCTGTATTATATTTAAAACCAGCGATGAAGTATGAACAAAAGTCAAGTTTTGGTTCATTTTTTAGAAGCCATGAAACCCACACATTCTAGAACCACCATTCCAGTGAATCAACTTTTCTGCTCATCTATGGGAACGTGGAATCTGAAAAATCAGGACATGTCATATTGGACCGACCTTAGGCAGTACAGGTCTTTTTTTTAAAAAGGAAGGATGGAGGAAGGGTATATGGGCCTAATTCAGGAAGGGCCTAATATGGACCAGCCTTCATTGTAAGGTTTAGTTCTGGAAGTGCTTTGTAATGCCACAGTCCCATTAGATTTGAAGAACAAAATATCAGGCAGACCATGCTTATGCTATCAAATAATCACAGTTTTCCCCTACACACCAGAGGCCTCCAAAAGGTAAGGTTCCAAGTAGATTTTAATCTTGAACCTTAGTAGTAGTTGTTTTAGAAAGTGCTAGATTTATAGGACACAAATAAAATTTATTTAAGAAAGTTTCTTGGCAGTTGAAGTCCTCTTTTTAAAGGCAGTGGTAACAGCCACTTGCTCAGCCCCAAAGAAATGCCCTACAATTTCCCCATTGGTACTGCCAACTGGAAGAACAACTATTTATTTTGGAAACTGTGCAATTATTTGACACTTAACCATCACCAATGATAACCTTCTTTTTTCTTCCCTTCTTCTTCTCTGCTGGAGGACTTGCTAATGTTGACAGACTCCTTTATCATTTAAAGGTAGACAAACCTCTTAAGGGCTGCCTGCAAAACTGGAGCTTGTTGCTACCAGATGCATGCTCAGATTTGCATCTGGCAGCCAACCCGTCTGCCTTAATGGCCACATGTTCTGGCTCTACTGCAGATGATCATTTATCTTGCATTTATACAGGTACTTTTGCAGCAACTGGCAGGCAGGATGGGTTTAGTAGGAATTTGGAACTAATGATCAATATTTTGAGTTATCAGTATTAATTAAAACTACTCCCTAGGCGAAAGCCACAAAAAAAAGAAACAGGGCCTGCACATGTATTTAAAACAAGGGCAGAAAGTGATTTTGTTAATGATCCAAATGAGGTAGACAATGTACAGAAAGTGGAAGTCAGGGGCATCTAGCGGAAACTAGATGCACTTGCCATTTTAATATCACTCTCCCAGATTTGTATACCTACCTATTAATGTAGACTTTTGGGGGAAAGAGACAAAAGAAAGAAAAAAATACCACCTTTCATTTAGTCATCCAGCTTCTGCAAGTCATTAAAATTGCCGTTATAATGCATAATGTTGCTATCTTCTGTGGAAGAGGTCTGTGTAAATGCAGTTGAACTGTGTGCTTATAGCACCTTAGTACAGTTACCAAACATTTTGCAGGGCAGCATTGCTGGATAGATTGTTTATGACATATTTGTGAATTGTTGGCAGCTGCTTCAGGTGGTGTCCAGGCACTGGAAAGGTAGGCTATAATTTTCTAAATAAATAAATGAGTGGCATTATCAATATTAGCATCTCTCTAATACTACTAGAGTTGTAAACAGCAGCATTTCCTTTGCAGTAAGTCCCATTCATGTCAATACAACCCTTCCACAGAAGTAGCCTAGTTCAGACCTCAGTCACACAGATGCTTAAATGAAAATTAAAAGCACTCACACTGAAATTATGTTAACAACTTTATTTAATAGATGGGATAACAACCATAAATATATGAGCTAAATTCCATTTTCTGACAAGTTTGCTTCTAGAGGTCTGATAGATACAACTGAGTAATAATTTACGGAGACATTTCTTAATCTTTAACACCTATTAATCATTAACTTTTAAAGAAACAATTTAAATGTAGAATGTGTGACCACATTTTTGTACATGTCAGACCTATGGGATCCATGTAAGAATTCAATAATTTTTCTTTATATGTACTATCCTCTGATGCTTCAGATATTGTTTTCCTGTCTAGAAAGCAGAAATGGAATCCAAGCAAAACAATCTGGATTTTTTAATGTCAAACTTTTATTAATTATTCTGTGTACTCACAGTTGTTTAAAATTGTAACCACAGCGACTAAGCATCTGTGATGTAGCTATTCTTATTCAAAGTAGAAATCTTCTATATAAGTCACTTTTTGCTCCATTTATTTTAATGAGTTCACTCAAGCCATAAACAACAATTCACTACACCCTGGAAAAGAATTCGCAACATGGACCCAATGTAAAATACATTATGGGTGCAAACACACTTAAATGGGAGCAAGCGCTATTGAAGATGATGGGATCTGATGATGGGAAGAAGATGAAGAAGGGATTTGTTTTTGAGTAAACACAGAGATGGGCTCCAAGCAGTACACAATACATATGAAATACTGTAGAAACCCTTCCCTAGACACCTTGAATGGACAGCTCCCGTGAGAACATTGATTTGGACTTTGGACTGGCTCAAATCCACTGCTTTGGTTTACAGATTAGACTCTGATTCTAATTTCTCTCTCATCCATCTAATAGCAAGCTCATTTTGGTTTCCACCCCATTATTGTGGCAAAGTTCTCCCCAAGCGTAAAAAGCTGCTGACAGAAGCAGGCAATACTTTATGAATTGAGCAAACCTTGTTGGGCTGAATAATGTTTTATGGGCTGAGTGTGGCATCAGGTGCAATGAGCCGTCCCAGCCTGCATATAGGAGTATCAATGTATGTACTCAAGAATATATGGTCTAATTTGGGGGCTATAATCTATACCGGTAGAAGGAGGCCTTTGGGCAATCTGCCAAATAAATAGACTTAGTATTTTGATTTGAGTTAAACTCAAGTACCTATAATTTAGTTTGGTGTGCTGTTCATTTGGTTTAAATTACTGACCTGTTTTGTTTTATAGCTTCTGCCCCCACCCTCAGTGCTCTGTAGATTAGCAGCCTTGCTCTAGTCAATATTCATTCATTTATTAGCTATGTGTACCACACAATGGCCAAATACTCTATGGGCAATTTACATCCTTAACATCAAATGATGCAAATAACATCAACAAGAAAAAGACAACCATAAGAACATTAAAATAATACAATATCAAACCATGAAAGCATTAAAATAATAAAATTCATAACAAAAGATCTCTTCTTGAGAAAGCCAGCAGAACCGAGTGGAAGGTCTCAGTCTTGCTCATCGCTAACATGTTGACTCGAAAAAGCACCCTTCAAACTAGTGACCCAACCCTGTCTGAAGAGAGTTGCTCCATCTGCACTCGGAGGTGGTTCCATGCCAAGATAGTACATTTTAGTTCCTAATCACCTTTGCTCATAATTACTACGGCACTAGGCTCAGTGGGCAGTCTTGGTTAGGAGTCTGTTAGAACATAGCGAGGGATCCTTTGAATTTCTGGGGCTTCGCTTCTCGTGGCTCCTCTTCACTGGGACTTCACTATGGAGCACGCCAAAGATCATCTTCGGAAGGCACGTAGTGAAAATAAGGAGAGAGAACGGGCTGCCGGTCACATCCCCCTCGGCGCACAGAGGAAGGTAAAGGTGCATCGCTGGTATTTGTTACCTTGCCCCAGAATGATGCTTACGGAGAGTGCCCCCCGCCCCTTGAATACCTTTTCTGTCAGCATGGGAGCCTTACCCGGCTTACCTTCAGCTCTGCCGGGCTTTGCTTGTGAATCAGGCGCCCTCTTGTGGCAGCAGGCGTTCCCTGCTGGCTGCTGAGAAGTCGCGGGCGGGATGGGAAGGAAAGTTTGGGAAAGTTTGGAAGTTGCTGTAAAGTTTTTGTTTGGTTTGTGCGTCGGGCTTTTTTTAATGTTTTTGCTTCGTGCCTTCTGACCTTTCCTAGCTGCTTGTGCGGAGCTGACATGATGACATCCACAGCAGTGCCCGCCTTCCCGTGCCTGTTCAAATAGCATTCCTGAAATCTATCGCCATCTGAAAGCCCGGGATCTGCACCACCTCCACCACCCTCTTCCAAGGGGAGGAAAAAAGTTTACTCTCCCTCCGCCTTCCTTCCAAACGCCGAAGGGAAAAGAAAGGGTGGGGGGACACCCAAGCAACTCCCGGGCCGAGCAGAGAGTGACTGCTCCGGAGAGCCTCACTTGCCCCCCCGGCATGGCGGAGGCTCGGGATCCCGGGGAGCGCCCTTGTGGGGCCCTTTAAGCCCGCCCGCCCGCCCGCCGCCACTGTGCAGGCCGAGGGAGCTCGCGGGGCTGCTGCGGTTGCTGAGCTCTTCGCTTTTTGTTTGCACTTGTCAGATGCGGACGGGACTGTGGCCGGCCGGGATCGAGGCACCCGAGGCGAGACCGGGCGGAGAGCTCCCTTTAAGCCAGCCGGCGAGGCGGGTCTCCCGGGAGGAGCAGGATGCAGCCTCACCTGGCACTGATGTGCTTTGTTGTATTCGGGGGGGGCTCTGCCGGCGTCGGCTCGCCCGGAGCCCAGAAGGCGGCAGCAGACGGACCCCGGGTGGTGTGAGCTGCCCCGATCGGTGAGCTGGACGGAGAGGGGGGCGGCAGGGAGGGGAAGAGGCCGCGGGCGCGCGGCTGGCTTGCGGGACTGAGGGGCGGACGGTGCCGAACCGCGGGGGTGCCCTCACTGGCACTGTCCCGCAACCGGCGACCACCCGGCTCGGACTACATGGCCCATCAGCCCCGATGCCGGTGGCTGGGGCTTATGGGAGCTGTAATCCCACGCATCGGCCTATGGTCCCCAATGCAGACCCACCAAGCCCGCGGTGGGGGGGGGGGGATTGCCGGGTGGCGGTGCCAAGTCTGCGTGCGGATGGCAAAGTTGCCGTCCCGCCGCTGGGCCGCAGCAGGCGCTGACCTCCCGGCGGGTCACTGCGGCTTCTTCTGGATTTACCGCTCAGCTGGCCAAGTGTAGCATCCGGTGCCTCTGTCCCCCAGCCTGGGATATGGCAGGCGGGCAGGCGGGGAATGTGCTTTTCTGTAGAGGGCATCGTGCGCGCGCGCGGGGGGGGAGCTGTCAAGTGGGGATTGGGGGTGCACGTTTGGTGGAAGTACACCCCACCTTCTACCTCTTGTGCTACCCCCGGCGCACTGCGTTCATTCATTGTGCAAAGCGCTCGCCCGAGTGCCGCAGCCAGGATGTTCTGCTCACCGAGCGTCCCTCTCACCCGGTATCCTTGGAAGCCACCTTGTACTTTGGTCTGGAGGTACCCTCGAAAAATCTTGGCGATGGATCCCATCCAGCCTACAGCACAGATGATAAACCACAGGCTGCTGAACCTGTGCTGCAGCTTTCATACCAGCAATTCCAAAGCCCTGGCTGCTGGGTTGAGATGTGTCAAGGGTTCTTGATGTCTTTCAGTTACTTTTTTCCATTTTTTGGCGGGGGGGGGAGGGGAGGCACACTTTCCTATTCCCAGCCATGCTGTAGATCCTTCAAATGACTTTGTGTGCCCAAATTTCTGTACATGCATCTTTAAAAATACTTGCTCTTGAAGAGATATATTAATTGCATATTACACATGAATCTGCGCCCTTACTTGAGAGTAAGTGGCACTGAATATAAAAACTTCCAAACATGCATGTATAAGTTAGTGTTATAGGCTGTACAATGGGAAGTTACTGATAAATTACGTTTATGGGAAGAACTTGTACAGGTTGCATAGGAGACTGTCCCTATAAAGTGAGCCTTAAGTGTCCACTCTCACATACAAACAATGTACCTACACACATTTGTTCACAAATGAAACATTACACTGCATATGTTATGCATATTGAATAAAGGAATACATGAAGGCCTGATCTTACAATGGATGCCTGGCTACATAGGTAGATAGACGAAGATAACTTTGATTCACAGAATCTAGTTTGATATACCTGCATATGTCAGTCTAATTTATCAGTCTAATTCTTAGCTACACATACAAACACATACACATTTTAAGATTTCACATTTCACATTTACAGATTTCACATGGTATTATTCTTTTGTAAAAGAAAGAATACATTGAAAAAATTATCCACTGAGTTTTACTAGTACAAAGGGCAAATGGACATTAAAAAGTAAGTAATTGAAGTTAAGTGTCCTTCAATATTCACTTTATATTTCTTTCTTGAATGTATGGCTTCTGCTTGTTCAATCACAGATGGGGTGGATTTGCAGAAGCCAACCAGAACCACTTAACCCAGAGGAAAGGGTTTTGAAAGAGCTGTGTTGATTTCGGCAGCATGGCTCCCGTCTAGATGAATGCTGGTTGATGGTCTGACTTGATTTCCTTACACGTACAATACCCAAAGGCCTATCTTCGTCCAAAATATGTTGCTGTTCATCTCAGTAGAATTTGCTTTGATGTCCATGTGGTACGAATTAGGAAAGGTGCAGTGCAAGATGATGGTTCTAACTTTTTTCACGCTTCCTCAGAAGCATGGTCACATGTTCTGAGCTGAACCATTTATCTGCTTATCTGTTGCATTTACTGATTTCAGGTTAGCTCGTCTTGAATACTCTTGTACCCAGAACTGACTCTCTTCCTTTCTTGATTCCCTTTTCCTAGCAAAGAGACCTGAACTCTTTCCTCTGGGCAATTCGGAGGGACCCTCCCGCTTACCTGTTTGGCACTATCCACGTTCCTTACACACGTGTGTGGGACTTTATCCCTGAAAACTCCAAGGCTGCTTTTCAAGCCAGCTCCAGTGTGTACTTTGAGCTGGACCTCACGGACCCATACACCATCTCAGGCCTGGCCAGCTGTCAGCTGCTACCCCATGGGGAGAATTTGCAAGATGTGCTTCCCCAGGATCTTTACCACCGCCTCAAGCGCCATCTTGAGTATGTGAAGCTGATGCTGCCTCACTGGATGACCCCAGATCAACGGGGCAAAGGTCTCTATGCTGATTATCTCTTCAATGCTATTGCTGGAAACTGGGAACGCAAACGGCCTGTCTGGGTGATGCTGATGGTCAACTCACTAACTGAGACGGACATCCGTTCTCGTGGAGTGCCAGTGTTGGACCTCTACCTGGCTCAGGAGGCGGAGAAGATGAGGAAGAGGACTGGGGCTGTGGAACGGGTGGAAGAGCAATGCCATCCCCTGAATGGACTAAACTTCTCCCAGGTAAGGATGCTCAGGATGTACATCTTTTCAACCATCTAGCTCTGAACAGAACTTTCAAGCATCTAACTCTTAACTTAAAAGTGGCCTGCATTCATTTAGGACCCAGATGATTAGCCTCATGGCGGATGTAATCCAAAGGCTAGAGTGATTTAGGGTCAGTTTCTTCTTGTTAATGAATAACGTGAAGAAGGACATTAGTGAAAATGGCATGGATGAGATTGTGGAAAGTTAGTATTTGTGATCGTGTCACATCAGCATCCATTATCCTAGCAAGACAATATGGTATTTAGGAGTGAGTGAGTCTGTGATCAGATCAAGAGCTCATTAGGAAGCTGGAGTCCTGATGTTGAAATTTGCTGCATGGACCCATGATTGGTAAGTATACGTAAAACATGGAGCCATATGGCACAAGTTCCCAATATGTACAATAGTGCAACTTTTTGAGTGACTGAGTTCGCACAACATAATAGGCCGGGTGGCTTGTAAGGTGGGAGTGGCTCGTCTTCTCTGAAGCCAGTCCAAGTCTTTAACAAATTACGCTGCTGGGTTTAGACTATGACTGGTTTGCATGTCATGAGAAGCCATGCTGGGTTTTTTTTAGCTGTGTTGATCTGTCATGTCATCTAAGCCCAGCTGCAGAATTACAGCATATTTGGTTTCTGGAAGACACAGAAAGGAACAAGTGTGTATGGTCTTTACACTGCAGGATGGCTTCTCATGATGTCCATACCTAGGAGCTCCATTTTTCCATGAATGGTGAGAAATACCACAGACTCCCATGGTAAGAGTGGCATCGTATGTACGGTAAGACAGGGCCACTCTAGGTATCGTATGTATACTACTCACAGTTTCCTAGCTAGGGATGTGTCAGGAATTTTTCTAGGGGCATGAGGTCATTGGATTCCCTGGCCTTGGCTACTCAGACTGCTTTGGAGCAGTCCAGGGTATGGGTTCCTGTTACATGCATCTCATATTCATGAGCCTTGCACCAGGAACTGGGCCCCAAGCCCTGTGCAAGAAGCACCCCTCTCCCCCTCGTGCCATCACCAGAAGCATCTTTGGAGAAGGCTGGTCACCGGGAAGAACACCTGCATGCCCAAGCTCCTGTGCAAGTGGCCAAGAAGGGGGCCTGCTGCAGATAACAGCTGGCACCCCTTTTCCACATCCTGCAGCCATTCCCAATGGGGAAGTTTGCTGGCTTCCTCTTGGCTCAGCTCATTTTGCAGAGCTGACCAAACAGGAGAGGAAGTCTGAGGAAGTTGAAGGGATGGATTCCAAAGGGTGCATCCCAAGCAACACACATGTCAAACACATGCCGGCAACATCATCCTGCAAAAGGGAGAAAGTGGGTAAATGCACAGAGAGAGAAGGGGACAATTGGCGCAAGTGTGTTTATTTTAAGGGGCACGATGCCGTGAGGAAGGGGATTTTGCTCATGGGGAATTTTGCTCACAGTTGCATGGTGAGAGTGGGAGGATGGAGGGGGCTGCATGGACACCATGTAATACAAGACCCTCTGACCAAAGCAAAAGAAGCAAAGCGAGGCATGGAAACCACACAGGCTTCCGTGCCATGAGGCACAAGCCTGCCCAGCATGACAACCTTATCTTGGCTTGGTCGTGTGAATGTCACTGTGGTGGTATATACCTCAGCATATCAGCCTGAGACATATTCAACCATATATCTCAGGGATATATTTCTTTGACATAGTTGATTTCAGAATTACAGAGGCAAGACTTGTTGCATTCGGTTTTCTTAACGGATACCCATCAAAAGGTCCATTACGTTATGACTGTGTAACCTGTGTACATCCATAATATAGACTTCGACAGCTGTCTTGCTTAAGCAGGTTTGGATCTGGTCAGAGCCTGGACAGGGCCAGGAGCCTGGATAGGATACCTGCCAACCTGGATGCTGCCTTGATGGAAGAAAGCTGAAGTATAAATGCAGATTAAAGATAGCTTCTAAAACACCAGCAACCTTATTTTCTACACAAGCAGACAAGGTTCTGTCTAAAGAACCTTCAGAGTCTTTAAAGATTCCTTCTAAAACTTATGTAGCTTTCTTTTCCATCTAAAACACCTGCAGGTTTCTTTTCTACTTTGCCTGAGTCACTCAGTTGAGGGAGAAGGTTTCTTTCCATGTGATTCAAGACATAGTAGTCTTTCTTTCATTGCTGTCAGGGCAACACTTCTAGAAACCTTGTCATGGCCTGCTTTAAAACAATAAAGGACATAAAGTAGTCCATGTAACCTGTAGAATGACTGCCCTGTTCTGTAAATGCCTACTCAGAAGTAAGCTCCATTGCATGCACCAATGAACTCCTATGTTCAAGGGCAGAGGAAAGCAACCGATGGGTTTACTGTTTGTATTATTCCGATACATTAAGAAGTGGACTTGACCTGGCTTTGCTGCCACCTTCTCCAGCCAGATGCTTTGGACTACAACCTTCATCACCTCTAATCATTAGGCATGTAGGCTGGGGCTGATGGGAGTTGTAGCTGATGAAGCTTGTCCATTTCTGAGTGCAGCTCTTGTCTTCATACACAGATTCTAATCTAAGATACATATTGCTTATATGAGCCTCAAGCATTGCATTTTACTCAGTCTATATTCATCTTGAAGTGAATTGTTTATGCTAAATATTAGGACAGAAAGTAGAAATGCACTGTCCTGACTAAATGAGGGGTGTGTATGTGTGCTTTAAAGGGATTAAAATCTGAGCTGTCTTTTGTTTGCAGCAATATCATCAGCACTGGACAGCCTTTGTGTTCATACTTTATGGATATCTCTTGTTTTAGGTAATGAACTTCAGATGCTTTTCTGAAGAATACATTGTTTGTACAGTTTGGGATACTGAGTGACTGTTTTTCATTAACAAATCTCCAAAATATCACCTGTGAAAATACGTAATTAGTTGATAGGTCTGCCAAAAAAGATGACTGGATTGGAACAAAATGGGGGAAACATGCTAGTAGGCATGTTATTTACTAGCTTGCTTGTTTGTGCAAAGGAGTCCAGCCCTTTTCTTGTCCCAGCGAAAATGCTCATATCCCTACATGAGGAAAGGATCAGGGCCCCTTCTTTGAAATGTTTCATTAAACATCACAACAATGCTAATGCAGGGATGGGAGACCTGTGGCCCACCAGATTGGACTACATCTCCCGTCATCCTGACCACTGGCTATGCTGACTGGAATGTAGAGGATTTACAGGAACATCTGGCGAAACATATTCCCTACACTCTTGCATTAAGGAACTTTATGGGAATTCTCTTTTCTAATGAAATACTTAATTCCAGGCAGAACTCTATGTACAAGCTAATAAAATAACGTGTTATTTATCCTCCCTTTGGAGACTTACTACTTTTTTTGGCTGTAAACTAATTACATATTTTTATTATAATCTTACAGCTTGCTCTATTGGCACGTGCATAGGACTGGGTTTAATAATCTGCTGAACAAATTCAGATGCATGAATCATCTTATTTTGATGTCACAAGCCGTCAAACTAGTATAGGCATATAAAATGGGGCTTGGTGTTTATTAATAATGTTAATTTTATTTAATTGACTTAATAATCAAGAGATCAGCAGCAGGGGCTCTCCTCCAGGAGCCTTCCGTAAGAGATATCAGGAAGCAAAGTACCCAGAGGAGAGCTTTCTCTGTGGTGGCACCCCATCTGTGGAATGTGCTCCCCAGGGAGTTCCGCCTAGAGCCCTCGTTATTTGTTTTTCGGCACCAGACCAAGACCTTTTTATTCAAAAAGTATTTTAATAATCTTTAATACTTATAGTTTTAATTATGCAGCCAGTGTTTTTCCAAGTTTTAATTGTAATTCTATTTGTTTTATTTATTTGTTGTTGTGAGCCGTCCCGAGGCTGTGTAGCAATGGGGACGGCATATAAAAACTTTAATAAATAAATAAATTGGTGGCCTAATACAAATCACATTTGGTGGACTTTAAACAGTATTAAAAGAGCAATAAAGAATTGTTGATCACTGGAACCATTCCTAACTACTTCCCCACTTTAAGAATCAATAGATAAGTCCAATGAGTTAACTGCAATAAATGTATCAATGCATACATTTTATCCTACATATGGGCAGTATAAAAATGTAATAATAATAATAATAATAATAATAATAATAATAATAATAATGTATATTTTTGCTTATTTATGAAATATTCACTACAGAGGCCCCTCCAAAGTGTTAAATGTCACTTATCTACATCAAGTACCATTAGTTTAAATAGCACCTAAAATAAAGCTTACAATAGCCCTTCATGTAAAAAAAAAAAAAAACAGTGGGAAGCTTTTCAAATGCGAATTATATTACAAGCTTTTGTTGCTGTAAGTAGATATTTAATTTTTGAAAAACATCAGTTGAGATGGGAACTAACACTGATTTTTGCCCCTGAGTTTTGACTCTGCTAGGGGCAAAAGGATATATTCAAGGAAGGTTTTATAAAAGGCACTAAGCCAGAAAATGTTTATTAGGGAAGTTGGGTGATCATTGCCAGTCCTAAAGCATTTTTAAATCTGTCTCTCAAATCTAAAGCATTTGCTGGGAAGGTGTTCCTTCGGGCTATGATGACTGTTACTGCTCCATCTATTCTTATGGAACAAGCAGAATTAAAATAGGATCTCAGTTTCGTGAAGCACATTTACAAATCTCCCTGATTAGTTCTCAGGCAACATAGTGGAGATAGAACATCATTAAGAAGCTGTCCATTTTATGTCCTTTTCTGTGCTATTTAAGAACTGGTTGCTCTTGGCACCTGGCCAATTGTTCAAAGGGAACAATTTGTAATATTATCATTCTGTTCAGCAATCCCATTGCTTGGTGCATTACGGTTTTAATTGAAAGGAGTAGATTATGATGAACTTGATTTCCTCTCTTAATTCCAAATCTTGGACCATCTCCTAAGAAACATATAATTAGTGGTATTAACGATGGAAATTAGAAATTGACCAGTGTTTGAATTCCAGTGGTATG